AGAGAGAGAGAGAGAGAGAGAGAATATTAAAATTTTAATAACATGATCAATTTATTGAACGTAGGAAACATCGATACGGCCATTGTTTGCGGCACTCATATGCTGTTCGAGCCATTCGTACTGCAAGTGCAACAGGAGTCGGGTCTGTGTTCGCCCAGAGGTGTGGCCGCAGTTCTCGATGAAAACGCCGACGGCTTTGTGAAAGGCGAGGCCGTGTGCTGTGCTTTCCTACAGCGCAGGCGCAACGCCCGTCGAGTGTACGCTCGCATAGTGAATGCCAAAATGAACATCGATGGTAATAAGACAACCGGTATGTACTTCCCATCGGCCGACGCTCAGGAGGAGCTCATGATTGATACGTACAAAGAGGTCAATGTTGACCCCCTAGAGCTCACTTATTTTGAGGCTCACTGTACGGGAACTAAGGTATCTAAAACTTCTGTTAATATAATTTGTTATTACAACTTAGCATGGTAATATTTATAAACAATCACATTTTACTGTAATAAGTTTAAAAGTAAAATCAATTTATGCTTTGAAACATTGTGTGCATTGCAAAAAAATATATAATCAACAACAGATCAGCATAATTAATATTTTTCACACCTTTTTAGTATAATGTATTTTATATTACATTGTAGGGATTGAATACTTTATAAATTACGTTTAATTACCTTTACTATGAAGTAATATGATTACAAAACAATATGATTACAAAACAATATGATTACAAATAGGCCGGCGATCCGCAGGAAATAAAGGCCATATACAACGCCTATGTGAAAGCTCCGGGACGTACTCAACCCCTGCCGTTAGGAGTGTTTAAAAGTAATGTCGGCCACTCGGAGGCGGGCTCTGGTGTGTCCGCATTGATTAAGGCGTGTATTGTATACGAGAATGAATGCATTCCTCCCAACCTTAATATGAAACAATTGAAAGAGGAATGTCTTCCGTATTGTCCGCCCATTAAGCCAATAGTGAAGTGCACGCCCTATAAACCAGGTAAATTTATTTTTCATTTGTTAATTTTTGAAGGTTAAAATAAAATATCCAAATAATATTTAAAATCAATATAATATAAATTTTTCAGATACTCTTTTGTTATAGACTGTAATGATAATAACAGTACTGAATTTATAATATACAATATTCTTACCATTTAAAACTTTATGTTATTATTATAGGTTTAGCGGCAGTGAATAACTTCGGTATAGGGGGTGCGAACGCACACGTATTGCTCGAACCCAACCCTAAAGTGGGAACCAGTGATGGACTGAGAATTGCGGAAACGATTCCCAGAATTGTCAACATTTGCGGCCGAACTGAAGATGCGGTCNAATTGCGGAAACGATTCCCAGAATTGTCAACATTTGCGGCCGAACTGAAGATGCGGTCAAATATGTGATGGATTTCATACAAAACAACCCAAAGAGAGTGACGAATGACTTTTTGGCACTTTTGGCCAACGCTATGAAATACACGCCTAATATTCACTCATCGGGAATGCCGTTCAGAGGTATTCATTTGAATCACGTGTAAAAATTAACAAAAAACTATACATTTAATTATAATTTTATTTAATTGTAAAAATAGGTTCACTTATAATAAAGAAAAGTTCGGAAAATAATAATGAAATTAATTACGAATACAAGAGACAAATTGGTTTTCAAAAAGGCAAAAGTTTGAGACCCCTTTGGGTAATGTTCCCGGGTTTGGGCGGTCAGTGGCCGGCAATGGCTAAGGCTTTAATGCCAATCAAAGTATTCGCCGATAAAGTGGAAGAATGCCATCAAATACTCAAAGAGTTTGGCATTGATTTGAAACACATGTTATTATCCGAAGAAAAGACAGCGATGTCTACAATGACTGCGAAGTTCTGTTCGACGACTGCTATAGAGATAGCATTGTTTGAAGTGATGAAAGCGCTGGACATCACACCCGACGGCATAATTGGCCACTCGTTTGGAGAGATAGCCTGTGCTTACGCTGACGGGTGTCTCGACACACGGGAAGCAATGGTCGTCACATCGATTCGGGGAATCGTTACGGAAAATGACAAAAATATACCGAAAGGACTGATGGCTGTCGTGGGGTTACCGAAGGCTGAGATGCAAAAGTTGTGTCCAAACGGTGTTTACATCGCCTGTAATAACGCTAAGGAGAGTGTAGTCATATCGGGTATGCATTTGAATAAAAAATTAAATAAAAAATGTAAAAAATAATTCATTTTTGTTTTTATTTTGAGGCCCGGAAAAGGAGATGAGAGAAACCATCAAATCGTTGTCCGCGAAAAGTATATTTGTGCGACAATTAGAGAGCAGTAATATTGCCTATCATTCAAAATACATCCAAACCTCTGCCCAACCGTTGATCGACGCCATCGACAAACATATACCGCATCCGAAGCCGCGCTCAAAGAAATGGTTGTCCACTTCACTCATGACCGCTGACCCGAAGGACGAACGGTTGCGGTGCGCGTCGGGTGCCTATTATGCCTACAATCTGGCCAACCCTGTTCAATTCTATGACCGACTCAATGAAATACCTGCCGATGCAATAGTACTAGAGTTGGGTCCGCACTCACTGTTTGGCAAAATATTTACCGAAACACTCAATCAGTGCTCTTACGTATCGCTCATCAAAAAGGACTCAAACGACAAGAATATGGATATGTTTTTGTCGGGTTTGGCCACACTATACGAGTTGGGCGTTAATATGTCGGTCGATAAGCTATACCCGTGTGTCGAGTGGCCGGTCGTGAGGGATACGCAAGCGATAAACTCGCTGATCAAATGGGACCACAGCTCACATATTCACACACCTCTATATCCGGAGCGCTATAGCCGTACAAACGCTGCGGACATGAATGTGAACATCAATTGTCGCCTTCAGGAGGACTCGTTTTATTTGGACCATTGCGTCGACGGCCAGTCTATAATGCCGGCCACCGGCTATCTGATGCTGGCCTGGCGTAAACTGGCGGCGACCATGGGCAAATTGTGGTACAACGTGCCCGTTATATTCGAGAACGTACAGCTCCGGCGGGCAGTTTTTATCAACGATGACAAAGATGTTATTCTTAACGTTAAATATTTTCCATTAACCGGTTAGCTATAAAAAATAGTAATTTTTACCATCATGTTTGCACATGACAATATTAAGTGAATATAAACATTAGTTTGCTCAATAATTTAATTTAAACTAACACTCATTTATATTAGCCATTACAAAATTATGATCATGTACCGTAATATGATATTAAATGATTATTAGTATTTAATACAATTAATCTCACCCAGGTGACTTTGCGGTATACGAGAAGGACAACGCGTGTGTTTCGGGCAAAATGCGTGCGTCTGTGAGCGACGACACACTAATCGCTCAGCACTTGCTCTACGATAGCGAACGGCGTTTGGCGGCCGCCGAACACACCATACATAGGGACGACATATACAAAGAGTTACGTATTATGGGCTTCGAGTATAAGCAGTCGTTCAAACGGCTCCGGACTGTGGGCACCAATGACTACAACGAGTTTTACGGTGTGTGCGAATGGGACGGCAATTGTGTCACTTATCTGGACGGACTGATTCAGGTGCGCGGCCTGTCGGTGCCCTTCCGGAAGTTACTGTTACCGGTGCTCATACGTAGGCTACGGCTCGACCCAAGAGTTATGTTTGACGCTTTCCGTAGCCATAGGCGCGATGAGACGCGGGTGGAGACGACCGGCACTGAGGCGGTCACCGGTGCTGTGGAGGAGCCGACCCCTGTCAGCATTAATAGCGCCTATTTTGTGCCGTCGACTGACGAACAGCAGACAATATCGGCGGTCGTCAACAAAGAGAAAGTCCGGTTCGACGACCGGTTCGCCCAATACTCGGCCGAAATGCCGTTGTATTACAATTCGGCGACCAAACAGTTGGTGGCGCCGGGCGTTGAACTCGAAGAGGTTAACGTGTTTCCCGCACCCCGTCGTCAGGACACCACTGCTCTCGTGTTAGACTCACAAGAGTTTTGCCCCAACGATGACAATCAGGCCATCGATGGCTGCTTATCGGCCGCTGTGACCAAGTATTTAGAGGTAATATTATGTGGTAATAATTATAGCAAGTAAATATAAAGCTTTAAATAATAACTATTTATTATATTTAAAAATTGCATATAATTCATGTAATAAATTCTCTCTCTCTCTCTCTCTCTCTCTCTCTCTCTCTCTCTCACGATGTGAATTAATTAATCACTTATATTTAATAATTATAAAATTAGTACAACTAAATTATTTATTTATTTGAAATAATATCTAAAATGCAATTTACATTAAATATCAATAGGTTTGTAAATCTCTGGCATTTAATGTAAAACATTTGGATCTCAAAAAAACTAAATATGATTTCAATGATCATAACATCAGCGAAGAAGTGATACAAAAATTTAGAATTGAAAACAATGAAAATCACGTAATGTTTCGTACATTTGATAAAATATTGACAGAAGTTTTAGATAAAAATGGCAATAAAATCAATGCTAAAGAAATTTCAACAATTTTAAATGAAATACAAACAAATAGTGAATACGATTTGAGTAAAGATGTTGTGAATCAGATCCAGAAGAATGAGCGTATGATTAGATCATTGATGGAAATTGTGTGCGAAAACTATGTAACCATTAATAAGATAAATATCACTGAAATTAATCTCAACGACAGTTTTGTGGCCAAAGATGTCGAACAGATTTTCACACATTTCCGAATACTTCCCTTTGAAGTCGATTACAAACTAATCGTAAAAAACAAACAATCGGTGAATGAATTGTATAGAGAGAGGGCTTCTGAATGGCAACTAAATGATGAAATACCTCTAAAACCGTCGCATTTGGTTATAATGAGAGACTCACAAGACTTATGGCCAATAGATTTGTCTCAATTCACACAAGACTTGTTTGACTCGATTAATACAAATGGATTTCTTGTATCAATATTTCGGTATAAGTTTACGGAACCGGAGATTGCGTTCATGTCTCTGAAGGGAAACACAATTCCCAGTAATAATGAATTGGAGGCAAGAATTAAAACATTTGAATCGATTGCAACTAAAACTGGATTTAAATTAATCGCAACCAAAAGCGATACAATCGGAACCCTATGCCTAATGTTTAGGAAAATCATTCACAAACCTATTATACCGGAGAAACACAATGTTATTGACATAAGCGGTGATTACGAGCAATGGTTCGGTGTATTGCAGGATAAGATCATTGACGCCATGCGTGCGGACAATAAAATCAATAACGTATGGCTGGTGTCTAAGAACTCGTATATCAATGGAATCATAGGTTTAATGAATTGTCTGCGTTTAGAACCGGGCGGAGAGAACTTCCGGTATATCTTCCAAATGGACACCAATAGTGTGACAGACATTGACTTCAATACTAAACCCTATTCTGATATATTGGCCAACGATTTGGTCGCCAATGTTATCAAAGAGGGGAAACTGGGAACTTATAGACATATTAAACTTCCCACAGATTTTGATAAATGTGTTTCAAATGAATATTACTTAAACTCTGGCACAACAAAAGATTTAGCGGGACTTCAATGGTATGATTCTCGGAAATTACCCGAAATTAAAAAGTCGTGGAATTTTGACAATAAAGAAATTTTCAAAACACAAATTAATATATATTGTGCGGGCATTTCGTTTCATGACGTTATGGTCGCGTCAGGTAAATTGCAAATGATATAACTCAAAAATGTGCATTTGTGTAAATTTTTAGTGTTATAATGACTAATTATAAATTTCATAATTAATTTATAATTTATCAGTAATTATACTTTATAAAAATTTATCCAAGTACAAATACTTATAATTTACATTAATAATTTGAAGTCATTTTTTATTTAAAATATTGCTTAACTATAGGTCGTATACCCGCGGGTCCGGAGCAGCTCTTAACCGATTGTGTGTTGGGCTGTGAATACGCGGGCCGTCGCGTGGATACCGGGGAACGGGTGATGGGTATGGATATGGGCCGTGCATTCGCCACATCACTGAACGCCAACATTCATAGCATGACTACAGTTCCCGAGCACTGGTCGATGGCAGAGGCGGTCACTATATTGAGCACATATAGCACACTGTATTACGCGCTCATCAAACGGGCCAATATTCAACGAGGTTTGTATAGAAAAATATTTATATATACTATATATTATATAGTGTTTATAAAAAAATACAAAATGCTATTTTAATTGATTTTTAAAACAATAGGCGAGAGTGTATTAATTCATTCAGCGGCGGGAGGTGTGGGTCAGGCGGCCATCAATATGTGTAAGCATTACGACTGCGATATCTATACAACGGTTGGCACCGAAGAGAAGAAACAATTTCTGATCAATGAATACAATATACCGGAGGAGAAGTGTTGAACTCATTGTCCGGAGAGAAACTCGACGCCAGCTATGAGTGTGTGGCCAATAGTGGCCGCTTTATTGAGCTAGGTCGATATGACATGATACAAAACAAACAAATAGGCATGTTTGATTTTGTGCGCGACATTCAATTCATTGGTGTTGTTGTCGATAACGTTATGGGAAATGACATTAAATTTTTTAATGGATTCTACGATTGGGTTCACAAGAACTCAACGAATGAATGCGTAAAGCCATTGAATTATACACTGTTTGAGGCCAAGGATGCGGACAAAGCGTTCCGATATATGACAACCGGTAAACATATGGGAAAAGTGGTCATTAAAATGAGAGCCGAAGAGATGGATAGGAGACCATTGATGGCCGTAAAGCCTGTCATAAATATGATGACAACGAGTAAGACATTCTTCGATTCAAACAAAGTCTATATAATAACCGGAGGTTTGGGTGGCTTTGGTCTGGAACTGATTCCATGGATGCAGTTCTTCGGCGCCCGAATGTTTGTGACCACTTCCCGGTCCGGACTTCGCACTGATTATCAGAAATATATTTACAATCGTTTCAACAAATTTTATAAAAATGTCAAAATATTTGAGTGTCAATGGATTGTCTCGACTGCTAATGGCTTCACAATTGAGGGCACAAAACAACTGCTACGAGAGGCACAAGAGTTGGGACCCATTGGAGGGGTATTTCATTTGGCGATTGAATTAAATGACTGTTTGTTAGAAAAGTTAACGTTTGAAAGGTTTTGCTCATCTATTGATACAAAACACAAAATATTTGCAAATCTGGATCAAATGACCCGACAATTGGGTTATCCATTGGATTATTTCGTTATGTTTTCGTCCATAGCTTGTGGTAAAGGAAATTCCGGACAAACTAATTATGGTTTCGGGAACTCCATGTGTGAGCGTATATGTGAAGAGAGACGTAGGGATGGTCTGCACGGACTGGCCGTACAGTACGGACCCGTCGGTGATGTGGGAGTGTTTGAGGGCTCGGATCAGCTCTTGGAGATGACAACACTTAGAAAGCAAAGAATCAATTCGTGTTGCGATGTTTTGGACAAACTTTTGTCTATTAAACAGCCAGTCGTCACGTCATATGTATGTATTATTATATCGATTTTTAGAATAATTAAATCAATTTCAAATATTCTTGGTTATTGCTAACATTAATTAAAAAAACATAATCTCATTTTGTCAAAAGCAAAAGAAAATCATTCTAGTATTTATATTAACAATATGTTACATAATATGTATAAATATTGTTGTTTAATAGATTAAAGCGGATTTCAGTACAAAGAAGTCGTCGGGCGTAAAGTCGCATATAATCGCAGAGTTGTGGCGGGCGTTGGGTATCGACCCGACAGTCACTCCCAATCACCTGACACTCGGAGAGATAGGACTCGAGTCGATGTTTGCCGTAGAGTTGCAGCAGGAGTTGGAGAGGGAGTGGAATATTAACATATCGTTAAATCATATAAAAAGCATTACGATTGGAATGTTGAAGGACTACGAGTCGGGTAATATGGGTGCTGTGAAAAAGCATCTGGATGAGCTCAAATTGGCCAGGTCCAATCTGTTAAAACAGAAATTTATAATACCTATTGAATCTCATACCCGTCTAAACGCGGTGACCACCGGTCGACCCGTGTATTTAATGCCTACGATTACTCTCAATTTCACCATGTTTGATCAGTTTGTACAACGGCTTAATCGGCCAGTGATTGGGCTTAATTGGACACGCGAGATGAGCGCACTGACCACGTTTAAACAAGTCAACGAATACTTTATGACACTTATGAAACAACTGGAGCCCAGGGGTGGGTACGATGTAATCGGCTATTTAGACGGCGCCATCACTGCCGGCAAACTTTTGCTGAAAGGATGGGCGGACAAAGTGGTGATCATCGATGTTATGGCCGACGATCGGCTCAACACAGAGTTGGATCAGCTCACAGATGAAGATTTATTGATATTTATATTTAGCTTACAGTTTAACAAAATACCTGCACATATAAGGGATAGGATTATAAGGGATGTTAAGAAACAGTCGGACACCAGGGCTCGAGTCAAACGCATGACAACTGAGTTGATAGAGTTTGTGGGCAAAGGTCTGATGGCGCCCGATATCGACGAGATTTACCACATTTCGTTGGCCAGACTTCGGATGCTTTTGACGTATAGATCGGAGAAGACGAAGAAGTGGTCAAATCGGCTCAAAATGACAATCGCTAAGAAGTGGTCTAAACGTGTGGGCAAATTGATCATGATCAAACCGGTTATTATGGATGGTGTCGATAATATCAATGAATTAGTTGTCAAATCACGTGACGCGTATCTATTACCCAATGAAAAGGTTTCACATCTCTCACTTTCTCTCTCTCTCTCTCTCTCTTTCTTTCTTTCTCTCTCTCTTTCTCTCTCTCTCTCTCTCTCAATATTACCCGACTCGTAGTCCTTCAACATTCCAATCGTAATGCTTTTTATATGATTTAACGATATGTTAATATTCCACTCTCTCTTTCTTTCTTTCTTTCTCTCTATCTCTCTTTCTCTCTCTATCTCTCTCTCTCTTTCTAAGATAATTAATGCACTATATTTAAATAATATTTATTATATGAATTGTTTAGGATGACAATGATAATATAGAAGTAACCATGATCAATGTGGCGCCTGATTTGGATCAAATGACAGCTGAAATGAATGAAAAACTATTGGCTTTGTTTAAATAAATTTGACCATGATACTAAATTATTTAATCAAATTATTTTTTTGTGAACTATTATTATGTTCAGTGTATGTTATACATTAAGTTGCCGATATTATAATATTAATGAATTTAATTTGCATTTATTCATTTTATAAAAACACAGTTATTTTGAAAATTAAAATTTTTGCTATTTCAAATTTCAAACAAACTCAATTAAATTTGTTATACTGAATTTATTGATTGAACATTATAGATTGTGCCCACTTATAGTTTATATTATGTATTAATCTTACTAGTTATAACTTATAAGAGACATGCTGGTGTTATTATAAAATATGCATTATTATAATAGTGTCAAACATTTAATGATTTTATTAACAATGAAACGAATAAATAGTTAAAACATCTAAAATAAGAGAGAAATAAATATTCATTTTAAATAGCAATTTAAAAAATAAATAAATTCCTACTTGATGTAACGTTAGTTCCTATATTAATATTATGTAATTCCTATATGTATTGCATGAACTGTATTTTATTTTTGAATTATTGTTATTTATAGCACCTAAGAAACATTGGATATTACAAAATAAATTATTTTGTCCATAATATAATAATTTATTTTATTATTTTAATATAATAAGTCTAAATTACTTTGAAAATTACAGACATATAAAAATTTATTATATATTTTGTAACTTATATTGTCATAAATAAATTTTATAGAAATATACAATTAATAATCAATAATTATAATTAGTGAAAAATATTATTTATTAATTTGAAAACATTAATACATAGGTTTTTATTAAAAGTAATTTTTAGATAATTTTATTAATTTACAATTACATTGTATATTATTTGATTAACCAGGACATTTTAAAAATAATAAAACCATTTTAACCACTATTTAGAGTATAATGAAATTGTGTTTTGTAAATAAAATAATGTAATAAATTTTTGGAATTATAATTTACAATTATTTAAAATGTTTTAATTAATTTTATTTTCAAATAAATCAGTTAAATTAATTAATTAGAGTTTAAAAGTTTTAAGATATTGTAATTATAAATTATTTAATAATAAAAATTAAACATTCAATGCTATTCTTGAGAATTATTTGAATAATTATTAGTAAATCTTTCGCTCAATTTATGCGTTAATAGAAAGAAACGAATAAATAGTAAAAACATCTAAAATAAGAAATAAATACAATTTTAAATAACAATTAAATTAATTAATAAATGAATGCCTACTTTGAAGGCAATACTTCTGGTGATAACGTATTGATTACTACACGAAAAGCCAATCAATTTCTTTTTATCACTCACTCTCTCCATACAAATCAGTAGCTAATTTGAAAAATACAAATAATTAAATTTAAATTTATTAATGTAATAATTAATCTATAAATTAATTTACAAACCTTGTATTTATAGTTTAATTTTGTTATAGATTTACTACTATTATAAAACTCATTTAGCAATTTATATGTACTTGTAATATTGATATTAATATCGGAAGTGATTATATTTAAGGCAAACAGAGATACAAGAAATACCGCTAAGAATACACACCAGAATATTCTTGTGTTAAGCATTATATCGTGAAATAGTAATTGATTTAAAACCACTTGATTTACCGGTAATAATAGATAAGTTAATATAAAATATATGTGTCGCCAAAATTTATTATGACATTCAATATCCCGGCAAAGCTTGTTGTGATTTAACGGTATTTTATTTAGTAATTTTAATTTAACAAATTGTTTTTTGTGTTTAATTTTTAGTGAATATTTATTAAAACATTTTATCCGGTATTTAATATAATAGCAGACCATTAGATAGTAAAATATTATCCATATATTTGTCCGCAGATATGCCGTACATGTTATAAATGCTATTATTACCGATAATATACCATATACCAAATTATAACCATGGTAATTAATATATAGTATAGCAATAAATACTAATGACAAACAAATATGTAGGGTGAATAAGCCTATTTTTGTCAATTTCTCCAAAAGTCTAATTTTACTTTCAAATTCTTGGGCCAATATTTTATCAGATAAACCAATTGATTGATAGGTTTGATAACCATTAATAGCGGAGATTATATTACACCATTTATAATCACTTTTATTAAAATTATTTAATATTATAATTAGCAATAAAATCATTATAATGACCGAGATGATACAAAAATAAATGAATTCCTTCATATTTGAGAAATATTGCATTACTTCATAATAATTATGTGAGTATCGCTTGTTTGGCACCGAGTTATACAACAAATACATATAACGTATGCCTTGAATAATATTGTGAACAATATTTGCGAATACCTTTAATTTTTGTATGTTTTGCGTCCGTCTGTCGACATATCTATTGTTGGCATCAAATCTATAAAATATCCAATTTTTATACAACGGGTACTCAATATCTGTTGAACTGATTGCCATAATTATTACAAAATGACTATGTATTTTACAGGTTGAATACTTTATAAATAATTGACAAAGCTAAAATACTGATAACGTAAAATTAATTACAAATTAATTAAAGCAATTATTTATAAATTTAGGATAACGATGAATAAAATGCGCATAACACAAAATTGTTGTCATGAATCATGATAGATAATGTTTGTATTTTTTTTATTTAGAATAAATTCAAAATGTCAAATAAGCAAATAACTAAATATAATCTAAAATTGCTGTAATAAAAATATAATATAATTAAATTTAAACGTTATAATAACTAAATAAAAATTTTAAAAATTTATTGTTCATGTTGAAATGTTAAAGGTTACCGTTTATTATTGTAATTATAGTAACGTTTACATTAAACAAAGTTAATTAACAGTTTAATATTCTTTAGAGTCTATGTAAAGTTGTTTATGTATAGATAATTATTATTATAACAGTATATATACAGTAAAGTTATTAATAGCTACATTGTATGTAGTTAATTTTATAATAAAAATTTTATTTTTGTTATTTATTAGAAATACACAGTTTTTGTAATTATGCAATTTATGTTATTATGGCTAATACTGAAAATTAAAAAAAATATATATAAGAAACTGTATATAATTTTTATATTTAATAAAAGCATATAATTTTAAATAATGATTGTAGTTTTATTGGGATCTCATGATATGCGCAACTTTACTATTTATACTTTTATTAATAAAAATTTACCTTATTTCAAATGTATTCATTTGTATTATTTAACATTAATATTAATAAGATATTATATTGGCATTTAAAATTATATTTTTTAATTATAAGTATTATATACATTACTTCTTCCACTTCTTGTAATTACTTCTTTTACTATTATAGTATTGACAATAGTCTTACAAAATTTCTATATTTTTAACTACAAGTCATACATTGTTCACCGTAATTTTGCCCTCTATTTACAAAACAATATGCTGTAAATGCAATGCACCATTATTATCAAATTATTATTATTTTTGTTGATATTTAATTGTACTATGGTTTTAATGTACATATCTGTCAATATATAAAAATAATATTAGAAGGTAATTTATGCAAACAATTTTAAAATATTTTTCAACGCGTTTAATGTCAAATATTTAAATGAAAATTTATAGCATGCTTAAAATAGACGAACAGATAACCATGATTTCCGATAATAGACAATTCATAAAACACCATTTTCAATCAACATTAAATTTCAAACGCAAATATACAATCTATTAATACCATGTTTTGTTTTATGGCCAGTGATTGTATTGACAGCACACATTTGGTGACAGGTATGACAACCACTTTATACATGATAAAACTGTTCAAACTAAATAAATTGACCGGTTATATATACATTACCCATCGGGGTAGCGATAATTTTGTTTGATTTATTCTGTGATCAATAAATAAGTCAAAATAAAGTTTAATGTAAAAATTGTAAGATTTAGCTCAAAATCTTATTTTATTTGCAATACACGTATATAACAGTGAATTGTGTATTGTTTTAGGCGTAAAATCAATACAATTGTTTCAATGCAAACCACTGTCTGTCAATAGTATAGCATATGTATTGTGGTATCGATTAATTTCATACAACACTTTATACAATACTATATTTTATACAAATCTATATAACTATATAGTAATATCTAACATAATTAAAGTTGTAATTTAAAATAGTTAAACACTTATTGTCTGTAAGTGGCCTAACTTAGCAATGTTTTTATAACCTGGATTAATTTAGCGAAGTTTTATTTATTTTTTATGCTAATTTGTTATCAAATGAATAACATTTTATGCTAATCGTTAGGGATTATAATTTAATTATTATTTAACGTATATTTAATTACATAGTGAATGGATGGTCCGGTAGGGGTGGTGGTGTATAAGCTATGTACAATGTATAACGTATGCAGTAATGATTAGCATAATATCTAGATTAATTTAATGAATAAAATTAGCTATTAGTATAGTAAAACAGTACAGTATATAATGTAAGTATAGTAAATATAGTCTGGAATCTTATATACCAGTGCTTTATTAGCCAACCCTGGCTGACACGGACTGTCCATTCGCTTCTCTATTGTGATTAATTGACGTCAAAATATATGTGACTTAAAGTAAAGCTAATTATTTGTCTTTCAAATGATTGATTGAATACACAATATATACGCCAATAAAGTGAATGAAAGGGATTCTGTTGATCTCTCTCTCTCTCTCTCTCTCTCTCGAATTACTAGCATTAAAGAGAGAGAGAGAGAGAGAGAGAGAGATAAAATAAAAACTTGATACATAGATTTAAGTCACTGCTATTGTGTTGAAATAAATTATATTTCTGTTATTTCCGTGTATTTCTATTATATTCTCGGAAAGCAATGACTGACTGTTGAGTTTGGGCTAAAAATGGATACACAGACAGACAGACAGTCAATAAAATACAACATACAATAAATTCAAAATCACATACAGAATAACAGCCATAAAATTCTATAAACATTTCAATTGTATTAAAAAACAATATAAAATTGTTTTCTAGCATTTGATTGACAAATACTGATGTGTAAAAAAGGATGAGTTGTTTCATGTTTTGTAAATATCATTTGATTTCAATAATAAAAATCTCAATTCTTATTGCGTTTTATACACATTATACAGAGAATGGTTCACATAAGTGCGAACGAACGGTATATGGTTATAATTTTAAACATGGTTAACTTTGCTGGTTATTACATATACCAAATTAAAGAGTATTTATCTAAGTTTATTAATTATATTAAAAATAATTTTAATCTAGACCGTAATTGAATTTAGCCCCCTTTTTTAAATGACCCCCTAAAATCATTTTCCAATCAATGATAAAGTATAGCATTGCACCTAAACTTACATGTTAATTAAATTTTAATTTTATAGAGATTAAAATATAAGATATAATGCCATTTAATTTAATTTGAACTAGGTTTACGAATTTGGATTTATTTTTAAGTAAATTGTATTATATTTATAAAAGTTTATTTGTAATTAAAAAAGGCAAAAAAATACCAAATTTTAATTGATTTTGTTAATTTG